CGTTCCCCCGTGTAATTTGTTTCCCATCTTTTCATCTACTAATTTTTTATGGGTATATTGTAAAAATTTCCTAATACAATTTTACTATTTAAGTATAACATAAGAGAGCCCAGTACGTTACGATAAACGTTCTTTAATAAGATTTAATGATTTTGATTTATGGATTTGTTCGCACATAATAATCAATTAATTAAATATTAATACGAAATGTATTTATCTTCTTTAAATAATCTTGAATTAATATATGAATACTATGTGCATAAATTTGTTCAACAATTTATAAAAGAAATACTTACTAGAGAAATTTTTACTTTACTTTTAATTATTTATTGATATAAAGTTACTTTCAATTTAATACCTTATTTTTAGTGAATTTTCAAAAAACATTTGAATGGTTTGGTTTGTCGCTCTACGGTTATTTTGTGTACACTTTTGGGCTAATTAGACTGGGACCTACAGCTTAACGTGGATTCCGAACCACTCACAAACTTCCATGCCACCACCAGGATTCGAATCTGAAACCTGTGGTACCAACGACCAGAGAAAACCATTTGAATGGGTTTTTTAATAATTTTTATCGTTAACACATGAAATTTGTATTATCCCAGATAAATTTGTATTGTCACAGTTATTATGTAAGTATCTTTAGTTTTTGATGTAATTATCTTATTATATAGTAATATACTCATGAAACTAACTTTTATTTGTTCTCAAGAAATACTTATAAATCTCAAGTATTTTAATATTCTTCACCTAATATTTTATTTCAGCAATCAAAATCACTAACATTTTGTTTTTAATTATGAAACTTTGCTTTATAACAAAACCAGCACGTAATCAACATCTAGAAGAAAGTTTTACCAATCGGACTAATTGGCAGATTGTTTTTGTCCTGAGTAAACGCAATACCATCTAACTTTAGTTTACTCTTACGCATACAACTAGTATGCGCCAACCAGTCTTCTGCGAGTAGCAATTACTTAAAAGGCTCTTCAGCTAAATAAAATATTCCGTGTTCCTCTACTAATTTGCAAACGAGGATATATGAAAGGCAAGGACAAGATATGGAATGAAAGACTTATTAACATGCCACGTAAATAACCAACTATTTTTAATACCTAAGAAAAGAAATGTAAAAGGAAACTATTTTCAATGTGCCTGTTTTCTAAAAACTAGAATTCATAGAAATGAAAAAGGAGAAACTTTTGATGTTTTTTAAAAATGTAAAAGGGAGCTCTTGAGTTGAAATGTGCACCTTTAATGAGTCATGCAAGATGTATAAAAGAGAAAAAAATGGCGTGAAAGGAATATTTTAAATAACTTTTGAAAAGAAGCAAACTTTCAAAGTCTGGGGAAGTTTTATAAATAGAAAGAGACTTTACATTTCCTTCAAACTTTGGTTTCAAAAGATGAAATGTTTATTTAACATTTGAAAGGAATTATGAAGCTTATTTAACATTTTGGTGATCCTATATTTGCATCATTTTGGTGATACTATAGTTGAAACATTTTAATGATTCCAAATTTGCAACATTTTGGTGATCTTATATTTGTACCATTTTGATAATCCTATATTTGCAAAATTTTGATGATCCTAAATTTGCAACATTTTGATGATCCTATATTAGTAACATTTTGATGATCCTATATTTGCAACATTTTGATGATCCTATATTAGTAATATTTTGATGATCCTATATTTGCAACATTTTGATGATCCTATATTTGCAACATTTTGATGATCCTATATTAGCAATATTTTGATGATCCTATATTTGCAACATTTTGATGATCCTAAATTTGCAACATTTTGATGATCCTAAATTTGCAACATTTTGGTGATCCTATATTAGCAACATTTTGACGATCCTATATTTGCAACATTTTGATGATCCTATATTAGCAACATTTTGATGACCCTAAATTTGCAACATTTTGATGATCCTATATTAGCAACATTTTGATTATCTTATATTTGCAAAATTTTGTATGATCCTAAATTTGCAACATTTTGATGATCCTATATTAGCAATGATGATCCTATATTTGTAGCATTTTGATGATCCTATATTTGCAACATTTTGGTGATCCTATATTATCAACATTTTGATGCTCCTATATTTGCAACATTTTGATGATCCTATATTAGCAACATTTTGAGGATTCTAAATTTGCAACATTTTGGTGACCCTATATTAGCAAAATTTTGATGATCCTAAATTTGCAACATTTTGATGATCCTATATCAGCAACATTTTGATTATCCTATATTAGCAACATTTTGGTGATCCTATATTTACCATACAACATTATTATGATACATTATACGTTTGATTAACAGTAACAAATATATAATAAATGACAGCGAATGCAAAATTGAATTTATGAATGGTATAACATAAAAAGATTAGTAACGTAAAAAAGAATATAAAAAGTAATTTTCGCACCAAAATCATGTATAGTCGATGGTTTCATGCATAGAAGATTTTGGTACGTCTCGTTTCAAAAGAAACTATAAACACACGATTCAAAATTTGATGTTATATATTTAAGCTGAAATTTATCACACTACATAGTGACTTTTCTCGTCCGTCGAAAGTAAAATATTGAAAATGGAGGGATTCGCTACTTTAATTCGAGTGGTAATGCAGGACTAAATGCGAGTTTGTACTACCTACTAACAACAGGTATATGTGAAATTTTCGTAAACTGCAGTAAACGTCGCACAAGATGTTGTATCTAAGCCAAATTAGTCAGATGATCTTTCTCCAACTATACACAACTAATAAATTAAATTTTATAAAATGGAACTATCTTCATATAATGATAGAATAATTCCCACCAGCAATTGCAACAAATAAATTATTCTGACAAAGAAATGAAATTCCATAAATTGCTAGCTAATATCCAGAGCTTGTGCGATTTTCGTTACTGCTGCTAGACACAAATGGTCAAAATATTGTTGGTTATTTTCTTTCCTAGTATTTAAATGCTAGTAAGGTATTCTTATTTTATAACGGAACAACAACGCCGTGGTGGGCTAAAGCCGTCTGCCTACTGGCAGATTAGATCAACTATCAATTATAAAAATCAACCTGCTATGACATGAAACAATTATAAAAATCAGCTAGCTACAAAATAATGTAATGTTAAAAACTAATCAAATTAAATATAATTATTTTCAGATTAGTTTTGTTCTACAAATGTAACATAAAAAGGAGATAATCTATGTGTTAATAAATCTAACAGATATTAAAATCTGTTAAAATTATAAATTTAGATATAATATCAAAATATTTTAGTATCGATGTTTATGTATTATGATCTGTGATATAAAGATTGTGTAAGCAATAATAGGGGGCTGAAAAGCTCATAGGCTGCCACATAGATGACACATCTAGTATTAAATCCATATGATTTTTAGTTAGCTCTAACCTTCAAAAGACACGTGTATACATTTGACAGCTGTTGCACTATTAGTATGTGAGTTATAAGCATTTTTAGTGTGTTCATCACGTGCAATCCACTCGGCTGACTGTCGATTGGACTCAGCCAGTGGATTGAAAGATGCAATGAAAAGATGTAGCCATGAAAAGATGGAGCCATGTTTCATCCATTGTCACATATCGAAGCAAAAATTCGGGTTTATTACAATTGAACAGCTCCAAACACTGCTTAGAATCATCAATTCGTTGTTGTTTTGGGTCGATTGTGAGCTCGCGCGGCACCCACTTTGAACAGAGCTTTCGCATATCCAAATATTCATTCACGATATGTCCAACACGTTCCTTTGATATCTTTAGGGTCTCAACTATCTCAATCATTTTCACTTTACGGTTATCAGAAATTATTTTGGGGACTGTTTTTGATGTTTTCGTCTGTAACAGCCTCTTTGGGGTTCCACTGCGTGCATCGTCCTCGGTGCTCATTTCGCCTCGTTTAAATTTAGCAAACCACTTCTCTACGGTTGATTTTCCTGGTGCAAAGTCCGAATAATGTTTATCAAGCCAAGCCTTAGCTCCAATAGTATTTTTCGCCAAAAAGCAATGCTTTATTAACAAACAAAATTCCTTTTTATCCATTTTTTTTCAAACTAACAAAAGTGTTTTCCCTAAAAATGCTATAAATCACATACTAATAGTGCAGGTGTCTTTTGCAGGTTATATACAGGTTTCTTTTTGAAGGTTAGGGCTAACTAACAATCCTATGGATTTAATACTAGTAGCGCCATCTTTGTGTCAGCCTATGAACGTTTCAGCCCACCTGTTAGAAAATAGATCTCGGGGTAGACGTAGAATACCAGGGGTAATATAAATCAAATAACAAAGTCCTTTGATCCTGGAAAATCCATTGTTATCCCTAATAGCACCGTTTTATACATGAACTTCTGGGGACAATGGGACTGTCTTTGTCACTCATTAGTTGCAATTGTATTTACTACTATTGAAAAATAAAGTAGGATTTCAATTAAATAATTCAAATCTAATTAAATGAAAATGAAATTAGAATTTGTTTTCTCAAATTTATTAATACAAAAAACTATCAGTAGCATTAAAAACTTCAAAACTACTTATTCAAAAAAAAAACTGTTATGCATTTTGATAACTTGGATTGTAGAAGAACTGATACAGACACAACTAAAGATAAATGAGGAGATAAAGTTTGAAAAAAATTATGGAGTTTAAATATTTAGGTTCAATTGTCACCGAAAATAATGATATTATGCCAGAGATTATATAAAGGTTAAATGCAGGAAATCGCAGTTTCTTTGTTCTTGAAAAATTAATAAGATCCATAGTAATAACACGGAAAAAAGAAGAGCAGGGTGTGTAAACTAAGACCAAAAATTATTTATGGGTCAGAGACCTGGACCTTAACTCAAAAACAGGAGAAGATGTTAATAAACTGGGAAATGAAGATCTTAAGAGCTATATTTTTGACCTATCGGAGAGGGTGTTGTTTGGAGGAGGTAAATTAAATATTTTACAATCATGAAAGCCAACGGCCATACCATGCTGAATATACCGGTTCTCGTTAGATCACTGTGAAGTGTGTGTGTGAAGCATCATTGAGCGCGGTCAGTACTTGGGTGGCTGACCACCTGGGAACACCGCGTGCCATTGGCATTCACACATTTGGGACCTGAATGCCCGAGTGTCTAGCGCTCGGCGCCACAGGTTTCGGGTTCGAGTCCCGGCGGTGCCATGGATCCTTATAGTGGTTCGGAATAAACTTTAAGCCGTAGGTCCCGGTCTCCTATGACTATAAGAGCGTCACGGAGCCAAAGTCAGACTTCTACCTACTGGTACTCCATCACAACAGAAGCTGCTTCCTTCCCCTTCAATCATGAGTACGTATGGGCTCGTGGGCTTGGCCAGCCAAGTGGGATAAGAAACAACAAACAACATAATCATGAAATTGTAAAATTGTTTAAAGAAAAGGATATCATAAATTATATAAAGTCAAAGAGAATTCAATGGCTGGGGCACATAGTGAGAATGGACGATAGCAGAGACACAAAGAAAATTTTCAAGGGGAAGTACCAGGGCCAAAGACAAAAGGGAAGGTCAAAAAAGAGATTGATTGATGAAGTGGAAAAGTAAATGAAGAACCCAAAGATCACAAATTGGAAAAAAAACCAGAGCTCGAGACAGACGACTTTGGAGTAGTATTGTTAGGGGAGGCCATGGTCCAACATGGACTACAATGTAAGGAGTTATTTTGATAAGGAATATAGGGTAAAAAGGACACAAAAAGGACTTAAAACACTACAATAAAACTTTTGCGTTATATTAAAAATTTCTCGTTTGATTTAAAATTTTGCGCCATTAAAGTATTGCTTAAATGTTTACAAAAATTAACTTTATTTATAAGAATTCTTTTAAAATATGATCGAAATATGATTTAATATACAAAACATATCGTTCCTAAATAATAAAAGAATTTAGAAATGACATATTTTATGAAAATCCACTTTTAACAATAATTTTAAATCGACTAAGAAAACTCCTCTTAACTTTGAAGAAGTTTGATTAATTGAGAACAGCATTTTTCTAGTTAATATTTAATGATTTGGGTAGAATTTATTTCGTGAAATTTAAACGGATTAAAATATTTATTATTTTAAAGAACTGTAAATTAGTTGGGTTGATAAAATATGAAAAGCTTTTGAGAGTTACTTCTAGAAGAGTTTTGAACATTAAATGTAAAAAAGTGCGATGCTAAACTATTTATACATAAAACTTTCAAGAGCTCATTTAATAGAACCGTGTTTTCATTAAAAGTCAAGAACTTGAATATTAATTCAAATTAAGATGCAAATAGCCATTGTTAGAGAATGATCTTTTAAACCATTATTATATATGATACCTAATTTGCATTTTTTTTATTATTGAACTATTGCATGAAATGAAAAATATTCTTCAATTAAAATAAAGTATCTGCAGTCGTTTTCTAGCCTTAATTATTAAAAGTACTATTAATATGTAATTATTATGTATTATGTCATTATTATTAGATGTATTATAACAAATTATTTATGCATGCGACTTTTAAGAACTCATTTAATAAAATCGTGTTTTCATTAAAATTCAAGAACTTAATAATAATTCAAATTAAGATGCAAAGTGCTATTGTTAAAGAATGGTCTTTTAAATTTTTATTCTGTAAGAAACCTAATTTGCAAGGTTTATATTATATTGTTGAATTATTTCATGTAATAGAAAATATTCTTCAATTAAAATAAAAGTATCTACAGCCCTTTTATGGACTTAATTATTAAAAGTATGTTTAAGTTCATATCTTCAATTTAATTTTTCCTTATTTAATATAAATAATTGTCAAATTGTTTTTCTTTAAATCGCAATGATATAAATTCAATATAAATGTTTTACAAAAAATGTGTTCTTAGCATGAAACAATACATGAAAGCATATTGAATATTATAAATTGAATACAATAATGGGGGAAAAACATGATAATTTGAATTTGTAAATTGTTGAATATTGAATATTCTAAAAAAAAGTAACTTTGATTTTTTAATGGACGTATTATAGTTTCAAAAAATCTGTTACATTATAATTTTTAGAATGTAACATGTTTTACTGAAAAAAAACTGTTAATGAATAATACATTTTAAAAGAATTAAGAAATATTTTTATGACATTTTGAAAAGCCGTTACATTGTAATAGATAGATATCAAAGATTCCCCCACCCCCACCCCTTATTTAATAAGTAGTATACTTTTGATGCATAGAATATTCCTATAATAAAATTTTAGTAATACTTTTTAAAAAATATGGTGAAAGCACAATTAAATTACAAAAGGATGTATATATATTTTGATATTATAAAATTAAATTTACACAATTATTTAATGTTCCTATAAATGTTTCTCAATTTTAAATCTATTGTAGTAATAGTAAATAAAAGAAATTGCTTTAAAATAATTTTGAAATAAAATAAAGTAATATGAATGAATGTAAAAAAAAAAAAATTAATAGTTTATGTTGAAAAAATACCGTTTTTTATTCAATTTAAAAATAAATAAATATTTAATAATATTTTTAGAATTAATTTTCATTGATTTAAACATTTATTTAACTTTTAAAAATTTTTTAAGAAATTGAAATTTTTATAACGATAATTATAAAATTTATAACTGAACGAATTATTGAAATTTATTGTTATATGTTTATAAGAATTATTGAAATTTTATAAATGATTATAACGAGATTATCCAACAATAGAAAATATTTAAAAACCAAGCAAGAATATATACATATAAAATTTTTTTTTCTTCAAATTCTGTAGAATTTCAAAAGAATTATTCTTGCACCAAATAATACATACCCTAGATATATACTGAGATGAGAATTTGCTTTAAACTTTACTTCCTTTTCTTACGAAAATAAAAAAAAAATTCAAAATACGAATTTGATTTTCAAGAAACGCTGACGAAAATTATTCAGAATATTTTATATTTTTAATACATTCTATATTTCATGTGAAATATTCCCGCGTGTAGAACTTAAAAACATAATTTACATATTTCTTATTTCAATACTTCGTGTATTCATGAATTTTGAATTTTTTTTTCCCTTCAGTTTCTTATTCAAAATCCGTGCCTGTGTTGTTTTTCGAAGTTGATTCTGAATATACTTCTTTTTTTGTTTGTAATTTACAGTTTCAGAAATAAAACTACTTCACGTGCGAGTTGCTTTCTTTTCAAAGAGTAATATATCTCAAACATAACTGATGTTTTCTGGAATAAAGAACTAAGTGAGATAAATAAAGCATCATAAAACACAATTTTTCATTCCCTTTTTTTTTTTTTGTCATTTAAAAGTGATTCTGCTTTTTTTAAAACTATATTTCTGAAAATGCAGTGTTGTCAGATATGCTGAAAGTATTTCCTTAAAATTTAGTAGATAAGACTTTAAATCTTCATTTCCTTTTTTTTTTTACGAATAGAAAAAAACCCAAAATACTAATTTGATTTCAAGAAACACAGATGAAAATTATTCAGAATATTTTATACTTTTAATACATTCTATATTTAAAATGGATGTCAAAATGAATTTCATGTTCTTAAATTAAATGTATGTCATGATGAATTTCATGTTCTTAAATGAAATGTATGTCATAATGAATTTCATGTTCTTAAATGAAATGTATGTCAATGAATTTCATTGTTCATAAATGAAATGAATGTCATAATGAATTTCATGTTCTTAAATTATATATATATATATATTTAAATTCAATGGAACGAATGGAACGAAAAGGAGAATTGGTTTTCACTACAACCTTTAATCTTTATTTCTTCCTTTTACGAAAAGAAAAAACCCAAAATACAAATTTGATTTCAAGAGACGTCTACGAAAATTATTCAGAATATTTTATACTTTTAATACATTCTGTATTTCTTGCGAAATATCTCGCGTGTAGAACTTAAAAAACATAATTTACATATTTCCATACTTCGTGTTTTCATGAATTCCGAACTTTTTCTCTTCCAGTTTCTTATTCAAAATCCGTGCCTCTGTTGTTTTTCGAAGTTGATTCTGAATATACTTCTTTTTTTGTTTGTAATTTACAGTTTCAGAAACAAAACTACTTCACGTGCTAGTTGCTTTTTTTTTTTCAAAGAGTAATATATCTCAAACATAACTGATGTTTTCTGGAATAAAGAACTAAGTGAGATAAATATAGCATGATAAAACACGATTTTCATTCCTATTTTTGTCGTTTTAAAAAGTGATTCTGCTTTTAAAACTACATTGCTGAAAATGCAGTGTGTCAAATACGTTGAAAGTATTTCCTAAACATTTAGTTGATAAGACTATAAAAATAAACATTTATGCTACAGCGAAAGACAATTTTTATCATCGTATATATTTTGAAGCAAAGGCCATATTTAAAGCAAAGAAAATGCTTTGTAGAATATCCTAAAGAAAATGTTTCAATTAAATGTGCTGATTTTGAATAAGCTGGTTATTAAGGAATTTTTTTTTTTAATTTAAGAACTTTCCTTCAGTAACGAACTAAATGCAATATTTAAAAGAAAAAGTTTAAAGTTTAAAGATATATTTTTTTAATAACAGTTGTTTTTAGATTAAGTTTTATTCAAAAAAACAAAAACAAACTTCGCAGGAGAACGAATTCACAGCGTAAACAAAAACAACCCAAGTCAGTAATGGTTATATTTCCTATTATCCGCTCTTATCAACAAGAAACAAATTAAATAATTCAATATTTCTTTAGCTGGGATAGCAGTAAAGGAAATGCCACAATACATTTAAAGAATTATTACAGCAAAACATGCCTTTAAATTTCAATCATCAATAAAAAAAACCTCAATAACTTCTAAATAATGAAGAAACAGCTTTGAAATTTTGCCTACATGCACAAAATAGTTACAATTGTAATTCGAGCTAATAGAAGCATCAAATTTTTACCACCTTTGGTTCCTTTATGTCAGAGGTCCAACTCATAAGCCACCAGATAACTCTGGCCTCAATTACATGGTTGTCCCGCGTCAAAATTAAAGAAAGGAAAAGTAATTAATTTTTAGATATATTTTTATAAAAATAGATTGAAACTAAACAAAAACAATA